CCATAAAGTCACATCAAGAAATGCTGCTGATCATTCCAATGATCCCAAATAGACTCACATTAGGCCACATGAAAGCAACTGAACCCAAAAATATATTAACCAGTATATAACTGCACTCTCACACAACACGCCTGCAGCAACAGTTAGGACTCCTCCCTCCCTTTTAAAAGCGTTTTTGCTTCTGAGGACATTGTGGTTGTAAAACCACATGCTAGTAGTCTGGCCCCGGTGTGATCAACCAGTTTCTGCTGGAATGTGACGGCGGAACCAGGGCCAGATTAACACTTTGTTGTACCCTGGGCAACAATATTCAAGGGCTCCATCATCACAACCCAAGGATCACCATAATGTGGTCACATACAGAATATTTTACTGTAATATGCAGTAAATATACTCAATACTTGAATGCCTGACAACACGTAACCCGCCCAGAGTAACCTTTGACCCACCTTGTGTGGACTGACCAATGAGTGGACTGACCAATGAGGAGAGGGTCTTAACTTGAGGCCCTCTCTTCATTGGTCAGTCTGCATGAGACTGACTCTCAACTGACGTTCAGTCGTAGGCAGCGAAGCGTCTCTGTGCAGTGCAAAAGCCCGGGTGGACAGTTTGTTTAATGTAGGGTGATCATATTTCCATTTCCAAACAAGAGGACAGGGGATCTGTGCCTATGACGTCACACTATGTCAACGCCACACAAACCATGTTGGGACCCATTTTTTGTAAGAACTAAATTAATATCAGATTCTGCCAATTAAAGGGCTCTAAAACAATTCATATGTAAATATTTTGCATATTTAATGCAAAATCTAATTTTTCTGCTTTAGTGCTGCAACAAGGTTTTATTAATAATAAATTATATACCTTTTGTATTACTACAGCATTGGTAAGCTTCCTGTGCACAGATTATTAAGGATGCTTGTTTCAGCTGTGAGATTAGACGATAGGATCAATGAAAAAATAAGTTGTCCCACACTCCATATAAACTTTCAGAGAATCCACAAATAGTGGCTTTCAAATGGTTTTGTTACTTTTTGCAAGTTTAGAAAAGCAGCAGATGAGACAGCGTGTCTGATAATTTAGTTTTTCATCTGATAATATTAGAACATGTCAGTAATGTCTGAGGGGCTTTTATAAACACCATATAACTAACACTACTGGAGAGGGCATGAATTACACAGAGGCTTCTGGGGAGCCCAGTTATTTGGGGGGGGGGGGGGCATTTTGCCTTGGCCCCCAAAATGTCTTGAAACGGCCCTGGGTGTGTGACTGAGTTTTGAAGGTGATCTGAATTGTATCAGATGTATAAATATGACATGTGTAGAACTTATTGTTTTTTACTGGTAAAAACGTGTAGTGGAGATAAATCTACCTACATTTTACTTTTCAACACTTTGTTTTGTTTTCTTGTTTTTATTTAACTATTTTCCTGTCCTGTCTGTCTCTCATCTTCCTGCATCTCCTCTTAATTCTCCAGAAAATCTGTTGCCTGGATTCTTACCTTTTCACCTCATCAGTTACTTTTGAGCAGATCAAAGAGATATCCTGACCGAAAAGCGCAGAGCGCGTTTTCGATGCTGCGTCAATGAGGTGACATCACCACAGCACAGGTGATGAGCTCCGCAGTAGCGAGCTTCAGGCACAAATAAGACAGAAAATAGAGAACATGTGCGGACATGAACGATCGTGTGCTAATTATAGTTTTTTGGTTGCGCCACTTTGAGAATGGACCGTGCGCTGGAAGCAGCTGCCTGGATCGCTGTGCAACAATGCGGAACCGGTTCGCAGCAGCGCAAGTCTGCCGGCTCTCCCTTGCGCTGATCTGCTGGTACCGGCTCTCCCTCACGCTGATCTGCGGCTCTCCCTCGCGCTGATCTGCCGGTACCGGCTCTCCCTCGCGCTGATCTGCGGCTCTCCCTCGCGCTGATCTGACTTGCTCTGGTCTGCGCGCAACGGCGGGCGGGAAGGGGGGGGGGGGGGGGGGGCGCTTTTGGAAGAGTTGTGCGACACAACGAATCGATGACGCAATTCGTTGCCAACGCTTTTAGTAATCGATTTTCATCGAATTTATCGATTCGTTGTTGCAGCCCTAGTCAAGACCATCAACATATGTACGGTCAAGACTTTTGCAAAAGATTGTAGGTAACTAGGGGCGAGCTGACCTTCCGTAGTCGGGCAGAACAGCGTTGTGGTCGTGCAGGAGCAGATCTTTGACCTGAGTCATGATGGCGTATTTCCAGTTATCTAAAACCAGTGTGAGGTTTGCACATCCTCTGCTGTTCATCCTCTCTGCTGCAGGTCAGCAAAAACATCATTAGGTAATGGTTTTAGACAGAGTCGCATCTCTTTTCAGTGCATTTCCAGTGCTTGGTGAGAAGCAAAACAAGACAAGTCACAAAGAGAAGTTCTAACATAAAAAGTACCAATAGGGTGTAAATCGTCTGAGTTCCTGCACTCAACGTGGAAAAAGTAGGTCCTTAACTGTGCTAAATAAAAGTTTTAATTGAGTATAATTCTGATTATGTTTGTCATTATTTGTTTAAGGACTCAAAAAAGTTATTTTAACCCTTTAGAACCCAACCCCCTTTTGAATTGGAAAACAGATTGGAATAAATACATCAAAATATAAAACAAATTAAATCAAAAAGTAGAATAAGTTTCAATATATGTATAGAATGTCACATGGGGTTGATGTTTGAAATCTGATGCGACACCAGTGTCACCACGGGTCCAAATTAGCAACTAATTCTAATACTAAACAGATTTGTTTGTATGTTAAAGAGCAAGTCACCCCCAAATAAACTTTTTTTTGCTGATAAACTAAATAAACGAGTGTCTAATCGTGCTGCAGACACGTGTCGTCAATAATTTGGCACTTCAGTGCATCTTAGTTAAAATTTAAATATTCTGCCTAAAACTGGCAGTGTTGTGCCGTTGTCAGGTAAAAACTCTGCACTGTATTTTAATTTAAATCTGCCACCGCTATTGGCTAAGAAGTATGCTATGATGTAAACTGGTACATTATGAGGTCACAATGCTGTCGTGAGCCTGAGTGTGTGTGTATTTGTTAGCGGCTCCGCCCTCTCGGTCTGCCAGGCAACAGCATGTGTTGCATTTTTTAAACATGAAGCGGGAGTGGAGTTAGACTCTGGTAGGGGGTGACTTGCTCTTTAAAGATCAAACTGCTGAGACGTTACCTCTGGCATCAATTTAATGATTCATTGCATCAACACTCCAGTCGCTCTTTAATGCTAAACCATTATGTTTGAGATGCAAGACTCATAAAAACCTGTCTAAACTCACCAGTTTGTGTTTTGTTTTTAAAAAAGCAATCATGGGAAGGATTAAGGCAAGCATCTGAAAACAAAGTTAGGAACGCGAATTGTTTTAGTAGCAACTGGCGAATAAAAAATAAAGATGAAAAGTCAGAATTGAACTGTCCAGTTTCAAATACTTTCACACACGCGCAGCAGCACCAACCCGAGGGAGGACTGAAGATTCAGGAGTACTTGCCTTGGTTTCTGTCGACCCACTCTGGTTTGTGAGCGGCACACACAGCTGCTGCTGACAAGAGGAGCAGAACTCCAACAAGCTTCATCCTGTCAGAAATAAAAACACTCCTGCAGGCTCTGTGGTTACAAACGTCAACTCTGATATGCAGAAAAAGTAGAAACCCTGCGGGAAAAGTACCTTCACGGACAAGGAGTGGAACTATTCAGCACAGGGAAAAAAACACACAAAACAGCTGCTTTTAATATGGAACGGAGGGAGTCCGGAGTTTCCGCTCACATGACAAACGGCTCCATGTGTGATGTTTTAACATATTCGTAAAATCAACATTCTGTCTTAACTCTGGGTTTAAGAATAAGATATATGTTTGTTTTGTTTATCGAGGAGCTTCATTACTAATATTTAGTGGGACAGAATACTTGCGGAGCACATCTGCAGCATGAACTCAGTCCTCAAGGAGCGTCGGTGGAAGCTTTTGATGTTACAGGATCAAAACAGCTTCTCCACCCCAGCTCTACACCTGCTGCCCATCAGTTACACTCATGATTCTCAACGATGAAACAATAAAATCATAAAACACAATGAGACGATTCCTGTAAACAGAGATGTCATAAGAATGCAGGCAGGTGCACATAAAAAAGGAAGGCTTTATGAAAGACTAAATAACACCCACATGATGCAGATGTCATTTAAATCCACAAGCACCATCTTACATGGGTGATCTTCTTAGTCCCTACACCCCCAGCAGGTCCCTGAGGTCCAGTGATCAAAGCCTACTGGTTGTGCAGTGCACCAGGCTAAAGACCAAAGGTGACAGATCATTTGCTGCTGTGGCCCCCAGACTCTGGAACTCTCTCCCCCTGAGACTGAGATCAGTGGACTCAGTGGTCTCCTTTAAAAAGCAGCTGAAGACTCACTTGTTCAAGCTGGCTTTGGTATGACCTTCTTCACCACTCTCTCTTTATTCTGCTCTCCCCACCTATTCCACCTTCCACAGGATCCACTGATTTCCCTCTTTCCTATTCACTCTCTTAACTTTTTTTTATCACAATTGTCTCTTTGCTCATTTTAAATATATTTTTTAAACATTTTCTAAATGCTTTTTTATATTTTTACATTTTTTGTTTTTGTGAAGTGCCTCGTGATTTTTATCTCGAGAGGCGCTATAGAAATACTTTCTTCTTCTTCAAACAGAAAGTTTTTAATGAAATACTTTTGTTTCCTGGCAGCAGACTCAACAGCCTCACTGGGCCTGGCAGCTGACGGCGAGCGACGCTCTCTGGACCACACGGTTTCACTCAGCCTGAGGCCAGACAGAAATCAGCTACAGTTTTCATGCTTGAGGTTTTCGTTTATCGTGAACGACTCCATCCAGCATGTGCAAATGAATCCTAGGACAAAATGATGGGTCTTGAAAAGCATGTTTTTCTACACAAGTATAGGTAAAAAAGAAAAAAGAACGTTCAATAAGAAAAGAGAAAGACCAAATGTAACGTGTTGTCTTTTTATTTTTGTTTCAAATTCATCTCAACAGCAAACATTTTTCAGGGTCCTCAATCAGCTGAGTGGAAAGTGAGGACAGGCTGTAGGTCCAAGAGCGAGCCTGCTCAGCAAACGGCCCCAGAGCGATACAAAAGGAAAAGGTTGCTGCCACCTGCTAGTGCCACATCAGAGAAGTCACTCCTAAATCCACACGGAGCATCAATAATCCTCCACGGAAAATGTTATATTGTTCATCAAATTAATCTAACAACTAAAAACATTCTCAATCCGTACACGTCTCAAACTAGCAAACAAGAGCCACTGGTGACTTGTCCAAACTGAAAGGGTTGTTGTTACCAGTTTAAATCACTGAAGCGGTGCGGCGCACAAACACATGAAGAAAATAAACAAATACTGAAGAGTACAGATAACAGGTGAGGGCGTAGCGTTGATGGTCAGCAGGAAAAACAAACTGGATGCTCTTCTGTTTGGGCTTCAGTGTCATCTCTAACTGGTCCAATTTAACAGAGGCACTTCTTTTCTGGTGGTGAGTTGATCACATCTAAAATGGCTTTAGAGTACTGACATCCGAGTGCTTTAGTTAGACTGAACGAAACATCTGAGCAGCAGCTGCTGCCAGATGTGTGTGTGTGTGTGTTTTGGTCCCAGTGTTGATTTAACTGAATTAAATGTAATAGAAACAAGTTTTAATGCATTGAAGCCACGGTAAAGGGTCAAATGATGTCACAAACTTAACTCCTACTGGCTGTTTTCAAACTGACTTCATTTATTTTATGTTAATCTCTTATTTAATAATTTTCCATGGGGGACGTTTTAATTTACCTCAGCCTTTTTAACTACAGCTGCAACACATGCAGTCATCAGTACATGGGATTTTTATGTCTGCAGATTAAAAGTCTTATATTCTGTGTACTTGGATGGATCTTTACCATCACGAGAAACATTCAAATGCTTCCCATGTCTGCTTTTATATTTGAGCTCTGCATCTCAGTAAAGTGTGTGTCTGTTGAAAGAAGCTTCCAAATAAACAGAACACACCATAGAGACCTGAAGCATCACTATCCGGCCTGCAGGTTCACATCAAGTGAGACAAAGGACCGCCAACACCTTTGAAGGCTGAGTGATAGAAAAACCCACAGGGGTCCATCAGAGCAGGAGAGGAGGAGAGGTTCTAGCCCATTTGTACCAGAACAAAAACAACAAGAGTGAAAGTGACAAGCACCAGTTGTTTCTAAAGCACCTCACAGCTAGTTAGGATGAAGGAGACCTGGGATCAGAGGAACAGAGAGGAGATAAATGAAGCTACATATCGTGCCCACTCGAGTTAAAACCATCACAGAAGCGGTGAACAGATTTCCTGAAACAGAACAGAACATTCAGAACCATCACAAGGATGAGGTTACTTCTGCGATCACTTCAGGCTGCCGCTTAAATCCGGGACCAAACTCAACACTGAAAGTATAAACTCCAGTCTCTACTTAAACAGCTCTACTCCGCAGCTCTACGTGTCTGGAGGTCAGCGCTCGCACCGATGATTGTACTGTGAAGGGCTTGCCGGAGAGCAAGACCTGGAAAAACCTGACCGAGCAGAGTCCAAACTAAAGATTCAAAGTTACACGCTACAATCTGACCATTTAAAAAATGAACTCAATTAAATAACAGCATCAATCCCCAAAGGTCATTTATACACAGCAAGATTTTCCGGAAGTCACTGTGAGAGAGAGAGGGGGCACTGATGCGAGAAAACATCCCGACGTTGAGTCTTTGCTGTCATCCTGAGTCACAGTAGGACTTCTCTGACCCACTAAAGGGAGGATAATTTCATAGGTTTGTGGCCTCAGACAAGAAGGCCCACCTCTCACGAGAGCTGCTGTGAGGAGGGATGAAAAAACAAACAATACCCAGTCTGGTTTCAATTCACTCGGATACTCGGGTGTAAACGAGGGCATCCTGAAGGAGGTGAAGAGAAACAGAAGTGAGAGGGGGTTGAACCTTGCAGCTGGAACCGGTGCAGTAAGTACGCTAAGAGTGGAAGTCTGGTGGGGGGGGGCTTAGCTGCGGGGCAGGCTGCATATTTCACAGTGCTCTGTGCCAGGCTGGTTCATGAAGGTGCAGTGGAGGCAGGACCACATGGCTGAGGAAGAAGTGGGAACCGATGAGCCGCCCATGGCTCCGTAACCCAAAGAGGTGGATTGCTGTCCACCAACTGTGCCTGCAGGGACAGGAGACATATCTGAGTTTAACACTATTATTACCATTATTAGACTTTAGTCTGTGAGGGTATAAACCAGTCCCAGTTCACCTGGAACAGGCAGACATGAGAGATGGTGAAGGAAGATCTGAGAACGGTTTAAAGTCTTCTGGTGCAGAAATGAAACAAACAGGCTCAAAAATACTTCAGGTAAGGTGGAGATTAGATGTTTGTCATGTTTGCACTGAAGAAAGTTTTAACTAGGCAGACGGCTTAAAAGCTGCTTTCCGGAGTTTTCCCCATTCAGAAATTCTGTATGACTTGTCAGAAATCCGTAAAAGTGATCGTCTTATCATGAACTGTGATATAATGTAAGCGATACGTTTAGGGATGCACGATCAGGTTTTTTGCTGCCGATCACCGATACCGATATCAAAGAATGCTGATCACCGATACGAATCACCGATACCGATCACGTGGATTGGCCAGAAAATTTCTACAACATTATAATGAGTGCTACAAACTACATAATCTGGGAATAAAGGAAATGTAACCTAATCTAAAATGGTCTGATCGTTCTGCTTTGATCTATTTTGAAAACTCCGATAAAAACCGATAAGTGCGCTATCGGCCAATTGGGATAAAATGCAGATCCATCGGTGCATCCCTAGATATGTCTTTTATTTTTTTGCTAAGCACGCCCCCTGCCCCACAGAGCTCCGTGCAAAAGGAAACTGAGCGCCGACCAGAACTAACTAATAGCGTTAGACTACCGCTTAGACGCTTCAAATTTAAGGAATACCTCGACTGATGCAGAGTTGATGACTTTTTCACGGACAAGTAAGTCTCTAAAATATAAATATATGAGAACACAACATGACATGAGAATAATACTCGTAAAACAACGTGTTTTAGCTCTGTTTGTCGGCTACAGAGGAAAAACAAAGCAACAGACGTTTGTGTGATATGACTTTCAGCCACTAGATGGTGCCATCGAATAAGAGAAATACTGCGGAAAGACGCTTTAAATGTTTTAAATGAACAGTATCAGTAGGCAGAAAATTATTTAAATGAAAAAAATAAAAATTAAAAACTGTTTTGTTTTATTTGAACAAACTCATTTTAATGTTTTTTTATTAAACAAGTCCACCATATTGCTATGTAATTGGATATTTTTGAGCTAAGCTGTAAATTATTAATCTTAGGGGTGGGATTTAATGTGCTAATTGTGATTAATGAATTTTAGAAAATGACGTGTAAAAAAATCACGCATTTAATCAGTCTGCATCTCAAGCAAGCTGTAAACTTTGTCACTGACTATCTGGTAGACCGATATCACTGACGCACACGACAATGCACAGTGCTCTGCTAATGACTACTAAAATGGAATAATTTGAAGAAATTGCCTTGCTTGGACTGCTGCAGTATTTGGGAAAACACATCAGCCTCTTCTCTTGACTTGTAAAAATAAACTTTCGGAAAACTACGGTGTCCGTGACGTGGACATCTGAGAAACAAATGAATGACAGATGCCGCCGGGTGGCACTGAATACTTTACAAAAGTCGAAGTAATCAGCCTCATTATTTTAATTTAAAAATTGCTTTGAGGGCACATTTTCCAGACTGATTAAAATGTGATTAATTTAGATTAATTAAAACAAAGCCTCTAATTAACTTGATTATTTTTAAACCAAGTCCCACCCCTAATTAAGCTACATATTAAACTAGATCAGTCAAATAAAACTCACTGTATGTGGTCACACATTACCAAAATACACGTTTGTTAAACTCAAATTAGCAGCTGTAATTTAATTTTGACCTTGTTCCGTCACACAGAATGTTTGCATCTAAAAACTAAAAATTACATTTTTTAGATGGTGAAGCTGAACATAAAAGTTTCCCTCTGCTCTGGTTTAGTCTGACACAATGATGCCTACAAATCCAGGTCTGGTTAAAGTGGACAGACTTACTGCAGAGCTGCTCGATGGTGGCCCACTGCTCAGACTTCTTCCAGGTCTGAGCCAGATCCTCGTTAGAGGTTTTCACGGCATCGAGAAGAAGCCCGATGCTGTCCTGCAAAAACCAAACATTACCTCACAAGGAACCACAAACTTGAGTTCACCACAGAACATGAAAATCTTATCATGCAGTTTTTACAGAAAAATCTGCCTTTTTCCAGAAGGTCTGAGTAAATACATTAAACCATTAATCACTTCCAGGTTGGAAAGAAACATGGCTGTAGACCTGATCTCTGCTTAAAAAAACAAAAACAAAGGTGGTTTTAAAAGGATCAGCTCACTCTCAGAGGCATGACTTCATTGGTGACGAGGAAGAGGAGCAGATGGAAGTCTGACACGATGTCCAGGAATGACGTGGAGGAGCACTGGGACAGGTAAGTGGCTAAACTGTGGAAATCCTGCAAACAAGATAATTCAATTCAATTCAAGTTTATTTATATAGCGCCAAATCACGACAAGAGTCGTCTCAAGGCACTTCACATAATAAACATTCCAATTCAGGTCAGTTCATTAAGCCAATCAGAAATAATGTTTCCTATATAAGGAACCCAGCAAATTACATCATACATACTGACAAGTGTCAGTGACTATACAGCAATCCTCATACTAAGCAAGCATAAAGCGACAGTGGAGAGGAAAACTCCCTTTTAACAGGAAGAAACCTCCAGAGAATCCCAGCTCAGTATAAGCAGCCATCCACCACGACTCACTGGGGATCGAGAAGACAGAGCACGCACGCTCACACGCACACACACACGCGCACACACACACACACGCGCACACACACACACACACACACACACACACACACACACACACACACACACACACACACACACACACACACACACACACACACACACACACACACACACACACACACACACACACACACACACACACACACACACACACACACACACACACACACACACACACACACAAAGACAAGTAATGTGTCTATAGTTATATTGTGATGTCTTAGTAAATATTCTATTTGGTGAAAAGATAAGTTACGTTCAGATTTGCCTGAAGCTCCTTCAAATAATCCTCATTCGTTTCCTCAACAGACAACATCTAAGGTGACTGAGAGCACCACAAGTGACATCATATCTTAACATAGTCGTGATAAACATTAAGGTTGTGTTCATTTACACATCGACACTCCCAGCTAATTTTTAAACTGAAGTTTTAAAGAGCTGCATTGCTAATATGTACAATCCTGACATCTTCTAATATTCAGTTTAACTATTTTCTAAAGGACTGCATTTGGTTTCTTAATTGGTTTTATGATGATGCATCTAGAACTGTCAGCTGAAGTGAAACAAACCAGCTCATTCAAATGTTCTTTCCTGTCTCCTGTCTAAAAGTCTCTAAATCTGGAAACCTGCGTTTAAACTGAAGAGTGCTTACTTGCGTCTCTCCAAGAATATCTCGGTTTTCGATGGGGAAGCGTTGAGTGGAGGTGAAGGTGTACTGAGGGTCCTTTGGAAAGGTTGTGGTTATCTGGGAGGAAACGCGTATAAAAGAGCAAAATCAGATCCAAAAACTATGCCTGCACAAGCAGAGACTTTAACAGAGAATAAATCCAAGTGTGAAACAGAAAATGAAGACATCAGACTCACATCTATGATGAGATACTCTACAGGAAGAGGTCGAGCTAGAAACGTCACGTCATTTCCAAATTTGTCTTTGTCCTGTTGAATAAAACATTCACAAATAAACAAGACCCCAAACTAACCACCTGAAATCAACAACGTTGCCACAAAGAACAGGTGAGTCACTTTGTTTTCTGATGAATCCAACCAGAGGCTGTGTTTAGTTTTTAAAAGAGTAGTGTTTCATCGGAGGAAAGTCTCACCTTGTAGAAGACATCTGGTACGTACTGCTCAGGGCTCGACTCCTTGGCGTAGCCCAGCTCCGGGGCATCTTTACAGGGCAGCAGGCACTCATCCCGTACCAGAGCCATGCACTGGTTGGATACCTGGTATCCTTCAAAGTGCACCTGGTTATCTGGACCACCTTCACGAAGAACAGTCGTACAAATGTAAAGTGTAAAAGCAGTGATGATGAGGGAAGAAGCAGCAGCTCTAGAACTGAAACATGTCTGTTTTACTTCATACCGACAAATTAAAACAAAGTCTACCGGACAAGAGAAGAAACACATAAGTTCCACTAAATGCTTCGACATTACTGGAACATCCAGAGCCTTACCAACATTACTCATATGAAAACACACACACAAGGGAAAGTTAAGGAGATGGATTTCATCCTGGCAGTCGAGAGATGTGCAACCACGATGTGAGCTTTGGCCGACAGCTGTTCTTTCACACAAATACAACTGATGAGGTCACTGATGACTTTGGGCTCCATCCACATTCTCCCATCGGCCAAAGATGGGGCATAATAAACACTTATTTTCACACTGGTAACAACAGCTCTGATCCCTTTAAATGAGGGCAATGTTTGAATCAGTGGTGCAAAGGCTCATGGGACAGTTCATGTGTTGAGCCTGGTTTATGCTTCTCCGTCAGCTCCGCAAGGGACAGACACGCACGGACTGACGGAAGCGTTTTGCTCTCATACTTCTCCGTCTCCTGGAAAGTGTTGCAAAGCAATTCCCCGGCAGGACCACAGAGGGCGTAGCGCTGTTCTGTGGTATCCTGTCATGTATCGGTCCAAGATCGTGTGTTTATATTGTGTGTTTTGTGTATATAAGAGACTTTTAACACGGACATATTTGTCTCTCATTCTCCCACCGCTTCATGCGCTCCCCACCTCTAAACCCACGTTTCCTGTCATTTCCGTCCACAAATAAAATGCTTGCTGCGCATCTTTTCACTCCTCCAGTCACGGGAGAATTAAACGTTCATATTTTTAGAGTTTTTTCGCGAGATATTCTTCAAGCTTCTCCGTGTCTGCCGCTAGTTATCCTCGGCTCTCTTTGCAATGGCGGCGCTGTAAACAACAGCGGCGTCCTGACCAATCACAAGCTTGCGTAATCCGTCTCGTTCGACGGATGCTTAAAAAAGTGGGCTCGACTCCGTACGTACTTGCGTGCCCTACGCAAGGACGGATAATGGCGTTGCGTGTCTCCGCACTGACGCAGACGGAGAAGCATAAATCAGGCTTTAGTGTTTGGAGGACAAAGTTGGTCCGGTATGTCCGAGGACAGCGGTTAAACTGAATTACCTGTTGCAACAACGGTCACAAACTTGGACCCGAAGTATCCGTCTCGAGAGAGTCTGCAGGAGTTTGAATGTTGGTTCTGGAAGAATCCAGCCGTGATGCACTCCTCTGCACTCAGGTAGTGTGAGTCCTGACGGTTGGATGAAGGTATTTATGTCAGATGGAGGAAAGCAGGTTTAGTCTGGCCAACAGAGTGCATTCTCACCTTGTTTCTTGTGTAGCGGACAGTACCTATCCTCATATCCTCAGACAGCAGGTCAGTGAAGATCCAGCCCACCTACAACACAAGAACAACTTGGATTAGACCAACTAAAGATTTGTGCAGAGATTATACAAAATTAGAGAAAAATTGTAGAAACAACACATCAAATTTCAACTATTTCAACTATTTGCTACAGTAAGATAAAAAGCATATAATCATAAAAAAATATTAAAGAGTCCAACTGTTTAAGGTGAAATTACTCAAATACTTTTCTCTAACCTTAAGTTGGCTGCTCCAGAGGGTAATTAGTGAAATATGTATACTGTGGATGAAAAGTCTGAATAAAGTTTTTTACGTCTCCTGGTGTGTAAGAGCAGCTGCCTGAAAACTGCTCTTTCCCCAAAGTTTAAACATTGAACACAAACCTTTTATAATACATAATAAGAAGTCCCTTATTTCCTGCATATATGTGGTTCAGTATGTTTGTTTAAATGAAGAGAATGTGTTTGAAGAATGGCATTAACTTGTAAACACACCAGCAAGGCATGAAATCCCTCAAATAACCCAACCGAACACCCAGTAAGTGAGGAACCAACCTTGCAGAGGCCCAGCTTGGCAGCGATTTCATCTACAGCTGCAGCCTTGGGATCCTCCAGCAGTTCCAGGCTGTTCTGGGTAGCACTCTGAAACACCAACCAGACCAGAAAAGCACATTTAAAAACTGATCAGAAGACATGGCTGAGTAAATAACTTGAGCAGACACATGTTCAGCAGGACCGTCTCACCTGTGGGGGCTCATAGATGGCAGCTACCTCCGCTCTAATGCCCAGAGGGATGTCTGTGTGTTCGGTGTACCGACCGTACAAGTAGCCCATCCTCTGGCTGCCCGTTTTCCTCCAGAAGTCCAGGAAGCGGTCGGCAGTAGTGTGGTTCTCAAACATGATGTTGTCCACATGTCTGTATTTCTAGGAACAGAAAACAGACATTTAGGATTACACATGTACGCACGCACACGCGCCCATGCACACACACACACACACACACATACTTTCAGCCCACCAAGTAGCTGAGAGATTTATTAACGTTTGAAAATCAAAGTATCAGATTAATATAGATGCCAACATAAACAACCAGGATTAGTACTCAGTAATGATCTTCACCAAATAGAATTAACAGAATCTTTTCGCCCAAATGGGGTCGTACCTGTCTGTTGAGAGTGATGGCACTTGGCTGACACTTGGTACAGATCCCCTCAGGCCAGGGAGGATGACCCTCACAGCCCGACTTTATCTTACAGCTAATGTTCTCTAAAGCTGCAAACTTCCCTCTGCAGGAGATCAGAACCGAGTCAGAATCTGACAGAAATCAGGAGCGAATCAGGGGGATGAATTCAAAACAAACCCCTCACTTATCAGCTCCACCGGTCAGCTTGCGAAGGTACGCGTGAAATGACATGTGCTTCACTGGTGGGTCGAGGTGATTCAGGTAGTCTTCATCAAAGGGCTGGGGGGAGCAAACCATTTAGGGCGGATGGTGTTAAAATTTCAACCATGAAGAATAAGAGTAGTTACCTCTAACGGTACACAGTGCACACATTTTCCAAGGGAGCCATGACGACATCTAAAACAAAGAGAACGCCAGTGAATTTTCTGTATCTGCATGTTCCTTGGTTGTGAGGAGCTGGTCTTGTTCTTACAGCTGAGGGTCTCTGTTCCTGTAGATCTTGCCATCTTGCTTGGTCAGATACTGATCGATCTCATCCTCTTGGACCTGGGGTGCTGAAGTGGACCGAGGGATCAAGGAGGATGAGGAGGAAGATGAAGAAGTGGATGAGACGGAGGTGACAGATGAAGATGTGTGTGTGGTGGCTGTGTCCATAACCTCCCCAGAAGAGGCAGAAGAAGCAGAGGGGAACAGAAACAACATGTCTCCATGCCTGCAGAAGAAAAAATTTAACTGAATAATCAAGGACTAAAATAAGGAATTACAACAAGAAGGAAAACTGGGTCATCCGCAGCCACATTAAAAGAAAAACTCCACTGATGAAAAATTAGCTTTTCTTATAAACGTTCTTTAAAGGTTCTTTTGAGAAATACCCCAAACCCGTTTTTGGCTGCATTCATGCATTTTCCTGTCTCAGTTTCAATTGGGCCATGTAGAGATTTTTCCTGCATCCAGGAGAAAGCAGCCCACTTGCATCATCAGGCATTTCTCCTTCCTCTGAAGCTGGTCTGGTCTCGGTTCTGAAACCTGGATATTCTGACAAATTACTTCTGCATTGGTCACAAAACACCACCGTAAAAATCATGCCTCCTGTCTACAAAGATGCATGTAAAGACCAGGGGCCTCATTTATCAAGCTTGCTTACGCACAAAACAGGGTCGGAAAACTGCGTAAGCAACTTTCCACGCAAACTTTGGGATTTATGAAAGAAAACTTAGCGGGAAAATGTGCACAACTTTAAGTTGACTAAGGACCTGGCTTACACACATGTTGGACATGGAGAGCACCTGCAGTGCTGTTGCTGAGAAGGATAACATGATGAAATCCTGCAGCATTATCACTTGTACTGCTTCGTTTTCACACAGAACAAGACCCCCCACACGCGCGCACACTCACACGCACACACGTGCGCTCGCACACACACACAGCCTGAAGCGCAGAATATGGAATGCATCAGCAGGGGGACAGATTGAGACAGAATGTCATGCGTCTGTGACAGTGTGTGTGTCCTGCCACTGTGACCCGATTGATCATGCACCCTGGCTTCTTGCACAAGGGAGATCTCCGTTTGGGTGACTAGTTAGCGTGCGTGACTTTCACCCGAGAGTCTGGGGATTGAATCCCGATTGGACCATTTTTTTTATCTCCGCCACAGATCTCTCTGAAGAATTCACAACATTGACGGCTTCAGCAATGCTGTGCCACTCCGTGGATCTTCTCTTATTTGTTTTGCAAAAGCACTTCCTTTCATTTCTCCACCTCACCCACAAGTACCTCGATTTCTGCTTCTGTGAAATTGTGCTTCATTGATCTGCCTTGATCTACGATCGCCATCGACATTGGCGGAGTGCTGCAACAGCCGGCTTATGTATATGCATGAGATCCACAAGGCACTTTGCATTGACTATTTATGGCAGTAAGTGGGCGTGGTGAGAGCGGGATGTGACTAAAAAGCAGCTGAGAAACATTCTCGTTAGTCTCCGATTTATGAAGCGGAGATTGCGTGCAGCTGTGCGTACTCCATGTTTGATAGATCACAAACCTACTAGGCGTAAGTACATTTTTTTGCAGAGCTTAAGTACGGTTTTAGTAAGGATTCTATGTAATGTTTGATAAATGAGACCCCTGCACAGGATGCGTGTTAGGCGACAAGATGAAAGGCAGATGCCGTAACCACTAGACTACCAAGGCCAATACAACAGCAGGCTGGCCTAGGTGCGGTTTGTCAGAGCGGACATGGGCGGAGCTTTGCTGAAACAGACCGTTTCATTTCCGGGTAAGCTGTTTATAATTTTTATTAGTTAAACCTTTAAGCGCCAAAGTTGCAATACTGCGACAAGTGTCATTACTGACTTTAACGATCCACAGCTACAAATACAATCCCTCATGAAATTACTACTTACACCAGAAGATAGTGGAGATATGTAACTTCAGGCTGAGCTATATTTATGAGTGTGTTTATACTGAAAGTTTCAGAGTTTATAGAGTTTGAAAACTGCCTCCCGCTGAGAGGTTACCGGTTGGGGAGAAGACGAGTGCACAAAGAGGGTGAATGTTAGAGGGATAAAACTTGTGATTTCCGGCAAGTCTGGTCTTTGTTGACTGATATCTTTGTCTGGTCATGACTGAGTCCGATTATGAAGCAGAATATCGACTCTGATGAAGAAATTCACTCATCCAGCCGCAAAGATTGACGCTGCTGAACAGCTAGTGCTACACTTACAAGTTCCAAACGTTGGGTTTGACGTTATATATATATATATATATATATATATATATATATATGTATATATATATATATATATATAAACAATGAAATTTAAATTTCAAAGAAATTTATATATGTATATATAAATTGAAAAATTCAAAATATAATGACATTTTCTAAATAACATGAAAAAAATAAGGAACATCTGTAAAAATTATACATTCCAATACGGCAGCCTGATGACGTCATATTATGCAAATTAGAAGAGTGAATTTTGGTCCTACTGAAAATGTCTCTCATTTACAGTTTACCTTTATCTCTAACCATTTCCAAGCTACAACCTTTTCAAAAAGTCACGTCAAAATTGAAGTTTCCTGAAATAACTCTGGCACCTAAAGGGTTAGTATATGGTTGTAGGAAATCGCTTATGAAATCAGGGTGTTGTCGTTTGAAATAAAAACTGCAGTGTTTTTAGTAAAACGTGCATTTATGAATTTACTTTCCATGTAAAAATGTGTTGTTTTCCACAGATGTGGCACAACTGAATGCTGAAATTGAAACCCTTATAATTTCCAGTTTAACTCACTTGATCTTTAGCAGACTGAGGGTTTTGTTCTGAGACACAATCTCTCCGGTCTTGTTGCGGTTTAGATAAACAGAGAACCCATTGGAACTGAATCCAAACTCTTTGGCCACCTGTAGGAGACATAAATGATCACATACCTTTCTAAAACCTTAAACTTGGTTAATGTATTTAATAGTCTGTTCTAGACAACTGCTGAGTGAAGGCTGCTTGTGATTGCTACAGATCACTCAAAGCAGATTAATCAAAAGTTTTTTGAGGTGTCCAGCTGGTTTGCAACAACTGATGAGTACACTGAGCAGGTTGGAGGTCCTGCATCCCAATTACATCCCATCATTTAGGAAATCTATCTGGATAACATCTTAACTAGCATATTGTAAAAAAATAAATAAATAAAAATAAATCTTTGAGATCAGGATGGACAAAAATCACAAGAGGCTGTTGACGCCACTATGGTTAAATAAATCCCATTCATCATCTCTTTCAATAGCTAACCTTCAGTGCCCAAACCATATAAGCCCCCCCCCCCCCCCCCCCCCACACACACACACACACACACACAAACACACACTTGTGTTTTTCTTTTCCACTGATCAGGGACAAAGATCTGCTCCTCCCATTGATCTGAAAACTACACTCTCCTGCGGCAACACAGTAGCATGCATTTTTAATTAGATAGTGCTGCAACGCTGCTGGAATTCTGATCTATTTCAGGCTTTCAAAGCCAACGCTTTTAATTAAACTCTTATTATTGTGGGTGCTTAAGTCCATCAGATAACTAAATAAAACCAGAAGAAAATTGAAGGCCAAGTTGTGCTAGTTACCAAATATGTCAATCGGTCTTAAATTGTGTGAAATGTCAGCACTAGTAAATTAAACCCCAAATTAAACCTGCCCTGTCTAGCATCAACTGGATTCCCTGAATGGAAATTTCCCCACAAGCCTTTTGTCAATACCCGGAAGCCATGAAAGCTCACAGGAGCTGTGCAGGACAGACCTGCTCTGGTACTCTCTGCATATCTTTAGTCAATTTATCTTAGTCTGTGTTGTGTGTGTGTGTGTGTGTGTGTGTGTGTGTGTGTGTGTGTGTGTGTGTGTGTGTGTGTGTGTGTGTGTGTGTGTGTGTGTGTGTGTGTGTGTGTGAGAGATTACAGGCTTGCCTGTAACTCACGTGTTTGGTAAAATTCCAAATGTTTGCCAGCAATAATTACTAAGTGATTGTTTAAAAAAGCGTAGCATGCTTGTTTATTCATTTTGACTTGTGTTTTTGTGCTGCAAAATCTTATATCCACTGAATCAAAATGAAATGAATAAGCATAGGTTGTAGATTCGAGCCCTGCTCAGTCTGACGCTGTTGTTGTGTCCTTGGGCAATCACTCAACCAACCTTGCCTGTTGGTGGTGTTCGGAGGGACCGGTGGCGTCTGTATGGCAGATTTGCCTCTGTCAGTGTGCCCCAGGGCAGCTGTGGCTACAATGTAAGTGTGAATGTGTGTGTGAATGGGTGAATGACTAATTTTTTTGTAAAGCATCTTGGGGGGTTCCAGGACTCTAGAAAGCCCTATATCAAATATCAGGCCATTTACCATTTACCAACCAATGTCATGGGACTTACTGACATTATGTGTTTGCAAAAACAGTGATTTGGTCAGATTATGTCATTTAGCAAGAACATTTTATCCAGTAAAAAAAATGTTAGCCAATTGAAAATCGGTTACCAAATATTTATCCACTTATTTATACTGTATAAAGACAAGTGTGATTAAAATCTAGTTTGTTTCCATTTTGCCACTAACAACAAAACACTACACACGTAAACACCAATGAAAATTATGTGTATGTTAACTTGTTTACCTTCTTTAGAAAGGCAGCTGCCGTTTCTCTCTTGGTGGAAGCAATTTTCTTCATCCCATCTGGGGACTGAATCCTGACTATCTAAAAAAATAAATAAATAAGGCTTAAGTTAAACTTTTGTCTGAGTTTCAGCTAATCATAAAACCAGGATGTCCCAGAGTTTCGGAATGAAAATCAGTGAATCAAAACATTTACATTTCTCCAACTTTTGTCCCTCTCAGATGACAAGGACAATGAAAAAGGTAGCGTTAAAGCTTGGTTATACGACTGAGTTTATTAGAAAGTATTTTAAATCTATAACACGGAGATTAAACTTATCTGATACGTTTTGTTGGTTTGTATACAGCCAACTGATTATGTATCTCTAAAATTACAATAACACTCATATAATGAGCAGACGATAAAATACTTATTCACACATTTAATTTATTATTGAAACATCTAGGCTCAAAAGGCTTTAAGGTTTACAGCAGACCTGTTTTAATCAGGATATCGTAAGACGGAGCTAAGCTCGGCCAGTTATCTGCACAGGCCGCAGTCACTCTGTGCTAACGTTAGCTAACAAAGCTAATTCTGCTGCCTCATCCCGCAGGACTCCGGCTAGCTGCCGTTAGCACCATTAACACCACAAACTATTATACTTACTATATTATCCGCCATGTCGCCTAACTGAAAGTCACTGGTGTACGTCCTTGTGCTGATAGACAAAAACTACAAAAGTCACGAAGCGTTACTGGCTGACTGTCAGCGAAACTCCATCACAGAACTCTAACACCGGTGTAGCACACTATAGTGTCCGACAGTTCACCCCGGCTGAAACAAGTGAGCCTGAAAACATGGGTTCCAATTTGTGTCTTTTTTTCGACAACCATTAATTCAATCTGTCCAGTGATTTTTATTCTAAATATTTTCTGTTTAGTTTAGTCATTCACAGGCAGTGAATTTAATTGTATTTGGATTCAATTGGAAACTGTGAAAGAGAGCGGAAAGTAAGAAGGAGGACAGCAATCAAAAACGCACATCATTTCAAGTTGCACGTAATAACATTTTGCAGCATGCAACAAATAGTTTGGGTGGTAAAACAGTAAAACTTAAAACAGACAGGACTTATCAGAAAGGTTATGTGAAATGCATACGTGTAGGAAAATGAGCACCAAAATATTTTAACAAAAAGATACAGAAACACTGATTAGGCAATTAGTAATTAACCCATAGTACACAGTAAAAACTGGTTAAAAACGTTGAAACACAGTACAATGTCTCTCCATTTACAGCAATGAATGTGGTATTTTCCCAGATGGAAAATCATATTCATCATATCCGAAATATTAACTTGCAAGTCAGTAACAACAGAACATGTTAACAAATAAATTCTGAAGGTTAGGAATATTTAGACTCAGCCACTCCATATTAGCAAATAAAAAACTTATTAGAAACAGCGCAGTCAAAAAGAGGTGATCTTCTAATCTAAGGTGTTAAGCATTTGAACCATTTATGGAAGAAGATAGTAAGATGAAATACTGTGGTCAAAATTGGTTACCGCAATCACTATCTTACTACTGTCTCGTGAGTTTCATGGTTGTTGCAGTTACGGATCATCAGCACCAGAAGATTCTAACAAAGACTAATCATACACAGTTGATAATATTGTTATATCTGGTGATAGCACTCTTGGGTGTTTTACATTGGGGAGCATTTGCTTATACACACCCAGCATTGTTTTATGTTTTGTATGAAAACACATGTAGAACTAACGTGCATCACTAAATTGACTTAATCGAACCAGACACAAACTAGAGCAGAGGAAAAATGCCTGTAAGTTTAGCAAGCTTCAAATCCTTCTTTCAGAAAGAACAACCATAAATCTTGCCATATGGTACGCTGAGATTTGGGGTGACATATATGCAAAGTGCCAACATCTGATTTGTAGTCAAAGTAATTACAATTTTTTTTACAAACTGATAAATCTCAAAGAACGTGACAGGCGTGGTTGAAGCACTTGCAGTGGTGGCTTGTTATCGTGCTCTGAGGACGTGCACTGATAAAAGTCAGATCGAATCTTAAAGTTCTCACTTTTCTCAGAATAAATCATCAAGGCTTAAATTAAATGATTTCAACTGGTTTTAAAAGAGTTTGGCTTGTTATAGAAGGTTCTTTAGCACCAACCTGTCCAGTTACTGGTGAACCTGCTTATGAGCAAAAGTTGTGACACAGAGAGAGAGATGACTCTGAGGAACATCACAGACTCTCACCCTGAGCAGCTTTAACCCTTGAGTCTTTATTGTTACAGCATTTTCTTCACCATGTTCTTCTCTATACTCTGTGCTGTTCACTGTCATTTCCCAAATCTCCCGTCTGGTTTCATGGTCTTGGTCCTGTCCACAAAGATGCGCGTAATGGCCAGCACAGGCTATGTGTCTTAGGCAACCAATGCTATGTAACATCCTTGTAGTCCAGTGGCTAGAGTACCTGCCTGGTCACTTTAATCGCTGGACTACTAAGTCAACAGAAGACTCTAGGTCCATTTTGTCAGAGCGAGCATAGGCGGAGCTTCACTGAAACAGACCGTTTCAGTTCCGGGTATATATTCAGGGGAACAAAAAAAAAACCCTCATATTTAAGATAAATTACATCTCAATAATATTTGATCATATATTGAGCTTACCTTTGCTCTCAAAGGCATAAAATAGCACAATCTGGCTCCTTTAAATGACATTTAAATTTTAAGGTGATCCCCCTTTATTCTGAGTGATCAAAGATGACAATATTCAGCAGAAATGTGCTTGCATGCACTATGTAACCTATGTGGTTTACTTTGATGACAAGCTTTTTTTCTTGTACCTGACTATGTTATATATTTTTTATTTTTTTATATGTGAAGTGCTTTGTGGTTTTTACCTTGAAAGATGCTATGCAAATAAAGGCAGGTGTTGAGGCCTCCAGTTCTAGTTGCCTGCTCTGTAGCAGGAAAGTTGGAGAACTGATCTCATAAACAGCCAAATCAAATAAAGTTTGATTTTATGGAAAACCTCATTACCATCATTTTCAAATGAGTTAAAGTGTTATCTTTGTTTAATCAACATATTAGAGAGTTTTTAAAAAAGCAACAGTCCTTAAAATTCTCTATGTTAGAATGTTTACTGACATTCTGAAGTAAGTACATGCACAGCATAAACAAAATTAAAACATTTAACATTGATTTCAAATAGCTGTGTTTTTAATTTTATTTGTGCATGTGGGATTGAGGGTATGTTCTCTGTATGTGTGGTAGTATTTTAATAATAATAATCAAAACAATTCAATTAAAATAAAAATGTTTTCTTTCGCAGGAGCCAGAAGTATGGGTTGTTAGTTCCTCAGACTTTGTAAGGGTCTGAAAGACTGATGTTGTGCTTCTTGTTTTACCCGTTTCCAGTTCAGTCTTGACAAAAACCCTACTGATGGGTTGTCTCCAGTAGATGGCAGCAGTGAGTCACCACAAAGGCAATCCAAGTGTGCGTCTGAGCAGATGCCTGATCAAAATGTAACAGAGCCACGTACACACGGTCTAGTTGTTAAAATGAATTTTAAAAAAGGACAAGCAGTTGCACTTTTTCCAGTTTTCAAAACAAACAACCTGCTATAAATATTCACGGTGTGGGGCGATCGGCAGTGATGGATTTAGGCACAGATCGTATTTAACGACGCAGATTGTTTTAGTGTCCAACATCATGAAAGAAGTAGATCTTCAACGCAACACCTCTGAAAGTCAACTTCTAGAGAAGAAACAAGACATTAATTCTGTCGTTGCTCCTCAGCAGAAGGATGTTCTTATAAAGCAAACATCTGGTGGGTAAAATCACAGATTTAATGAGTCTTTAAGAGAAGAGAAGAAAACAGCTAACTGTTAGCTTAGCGTAACGATGCTAAGAGAAGAATTCAGATAATCAAGAGCTCGTCTTTGTCGTTTATTTTTATATAAATAGTTCATAAATGCTCGATTTTTTATTCTTTAACATTCGTCCAATCTTTAACACCTACAATAACTTGTTGACAGCTAGGAAAAGCAGCAAGTGTCGCCCCAGACCATTATCAGCGCACACAGTAGAATTATAAGTTATTTTGGTGTCATGATTAAACCCTCAACTCTTTTTGTTTCCTGGTTTGTGCCACATGATCATCCCTCTACCATGTCCTCCTGCCTTTATGTTCTTTTAACGAAATTTTAGGCAAACATCTGGAGATCATTTCCCAGAGCAAATGAGAAGAGAAAATTGCTGGTTCACTCAAACTAAAACAACCATGTTGAGGCTGTGCAGTTTTTCTAAATTTATGAGGAAATCATGTCCAGGCAGCAAGATTTCTGCTAACTTGTGTTCTGCAGCTTTTGTTACTCAGCTGTGCATGCTGTACATATGGTTATTTGCTTTGGTTTTCACATGAATACTTCAGTTCATTTATTTATAAAGCACTTTAAAACACCCAGCACAGGAACAAAGTGCTGTACAGAAAATACATTAAAACAATAGAATAAACAGAAAGCAGCAAAGAGAAATAAATAAAACACAGGAGACATAAAATTAAAACAGCCCAATAATAAGAATAAAAACTAGATAAAAACAGCATTGAAACACACAAAAACAGCTAAAATAAGTCAAAACTAAAAAAAGAAAGTAACCGACATCTCACATGGTGTCAAAAGCAAGGGCAAAGAGGTGTGTTTTCAAGAGTGACTTAAAAACACTGAATCTTCTCAAACCGTTTTGCCTTGTAAAGCTCAAATAAAACAAGTAAAACCAATTATGGTTCATTTTTGTGCAATCCAGATTCTTTTTGTATCAGTGTAATGAGTTTTTTTAGCCTCGTATATCAGGGTTTGCCTTCTTGAAAGAGAATTGCAGAATAAAAAACAAAAAACATTTGATTTTCACAACAATCTGCACAGCCTGTAACTTTAAGATGTATTCCAGAAAAGGTTTACTATTTAAAAATGTAATTGAGTCATTAATTGTATCTAATGTCATCACAAGCATCCTCTGTGTGATACTAAAATCACAGTCAAATACGATGTCTCCTGTAGATAATCAGCAGCTGGTGGAGGTTAAAGAAGAAGAGGTTCTTGATCTACAGAGCTCCAGTGTGAACCATCATAAACCGGAGCTCATCAACATAAAGAAGGAGGAGGAGGAGGAGGTCTGGACCAGTCAGGATGAAGGGCATCATACTGTGAAGAGTGAAGATGAAGAGAAACCTCAGCTTTTACATCTTCATCAAATCAAAAGTGAAGACAACAGAGAGACAAGACCTCCAACCAGCAGCCCAGCTGAGCAGATAACAACAGAAAATGATAGAGAGGACTGTGGAGGACCAGAACCAGACAGGAACCCAGACCCAAAAACTCATGTACAACCAAACACCGATGAAAAGGCTTCTAACTCTTCTGAGACTGAAGATAGTGAGGATGACGGTGAAGATCACAGTAAAGATGATTGTGATGAAACAGAGTCAAGTAATGGATGTGAAAGTGAAGACCGTGATGAGGACTGGAGGGAAACCGCAACATGTCCTTCAGGTGAAAAAAACAACGTGGGATGTAAAACTAGCAAGAAAGCCTTCAAGTGTCCTGAGTGTTTTAAACGGTTTGTCAACAAGTTGTCCTTTCAGAAACATGCGACTTCTCACTCAGGTAAAAGCTCGTCTAGTGTGGCTGATGAGAAACGTTCTAGAAGGAAGCGGAATGCAGATTCAAAAACGGGAAACAATATTGAGACAAGAACATTTGCTTGTGAAGATTGTGCTAAAGTATTCAAATTCCCACACACTCTCAAACGCCACATGAAACATCACATTGGACATAAACCCTTTGCTTGTAAGGATTGTGGTAAAACGTTTTGTAACCGATCTAAAGTTAAACGTCACATGAGAATTCACAATGGGGAAAAACCCTTTGCTTGTAAGGATTGTGGTAAAAAGTTTTCCTATCAGAATGTTCTTGCATATCACATGGCAGTCCACAAAGGAGAGAAACCGTTTCAGTGTGAGGTGTGTAATCGAAGCTTTTTAATGAGAGGAGCACTGAATGTACATAAGAAGATTCACGAAGGAGAAAAATCTTTTGTTTGCAGTGTTTGTAACACACGTTTTAGGCTAAAAGGAGACCTCAAAAGACATGAGGAAATTCACTTAAACGTGAAACAATTTGCTTGTGTCCAGTGCGGCAAGAGCTTTTCCCGAAAACACACCCTGGTCAATCATTTGAAACTCCACACAGGAGAGAGACCATTTGCCTGTAATAAGTGTGAACAGAAATTTACTCGGAAGATGTATCTTATGCGACACATAAAAAAACACGTAAAACGCCACTTAAAAGAGCAGAATGCACTGTTTGTTTGCGCGACATGTGGAAAAGGGTTCAACAAGAAGTTAAGCCTTGAAACACACATGCATTTGCACACAGGACAAAATCTATTTAGCTGTGATGTTTGTAGCAAAACATTTGTACGAAGAGATAGTCTGAAGACACATTGCAAAAAATTCCACAAAAATGGCTAATTTTCTTTTAGGGGGATTATGTTTGTGTTGGAGTATTTTAAAAGGCTGATTCTACAGTTACCCATGAGCAAGTAACACGTTACTGCTCTAATGTGACCACTTCTTCAGTAATGTTCAACCTAATGTACATTTCTAGTTGAAAGTATAGTCACTATTTTGAGTTTGAGTCCGTTATCTTTACAATCTTTACCATCTCCTTGGAGACCTGCCATGTTCCAGCCTGCTTTAAGCTGTCCACCATTGTTCCTGTGCCTAAGAAACCCCATGTCACTGGACTGAATGATTACAGGCCTGTGGCGCTGGCGTCTGTAGTCATGAAGTCTTTTGAGCGCCTGGTCCTCCCTCATCTCAAGTCCTTCACCTCCCCCCTCCTGGACCCTCTGCAGTTCGCATACAGAGCTAATAGGTCTGTAGACGACGCCATCAACCTGGCCCTCCACTTCATCCTGCAGCACCTGGACTCCCCGGGAACCTACGCTAGGATCCTGTTTGTGGACTTCAGCTCTGCGTTCAATACCATCCTCCCTGCTCTGCTCCAGGACAAGCTCTCCATGCTCAACGTACCCAATTCAACCTGCAGGTGGATCACTGACTTCCTGACGGACCGAAGGCAGTGCGTGCGGCTGGGGAAGAATGTTTCCACAATTCAGACAATTAGCACAGGATCTCCACAGGGCTGTGTACTTTCTCCTCTGCTCTTCTCCCTGTACACAAACTGCTGCACCTCGAGCCATGACTCCGTTAAACTGATCAAGTTTGCGGACGACACCACCCTCATCGGGCTCATCTCTGACGGTGATGAGTCCGCCTACAGGAGGGAGGTGGAACGGCTGGCGTACTGGTGCAGCAGCAACAATCTGGAGCTCAATGCTCAGAAGACAGTGGAGATGATTGTGGACTTCAGGGAAGTCACAGCCCCATCTCTCCCCCTCGTCCTGACGGACACCCCCGTCACCACTGTGGACTCCTTCCGCTTCCTCTGAACCACCATCACACAGGACCTTAGGTGGGAGCCATCCATCAGCTCCCTGCTCAGAAAGGCCCAGCAGAGGATGTACTTTCTGCGGCAGTTGAAAAAGGCCAAGCTGCCGGCCCAGATGATGGTGCAGTTTTACACGGCCATCATTGAGTCCATCCTCACCTCCTCCATCACTGTGTGGTACGCTGGAGCCACGGTGAGGGACAAACATAGACTGCAGCGCATTGTGCGCTCCGCTGAGAAGGTGATTGGCTGCAGCCTTCCATCTCTCCAGGACCTGTACGTCTCCAGAACTCGGGGGAGTGCAGGCCGTATAGCAGCTGACCCTTCTCACCCGGGACACAGACTTTTCGAGCCGCTTCCCTCAGGCAGGAGGTTACGGTCCATCCAGACCAGAACCTCCCGCCATAAGAACAGCTTCTTTCCATCTGCCGTTAGACTTGTGAACAGCTTATAAATACACAACCATGTTCGTCTGCTGTACTTGACATAACGTCACGTTACCGGCCATGTTACCATTACCTGCCTTTTTTATAGCTGAATGTTTTATGCTAGTTTCATTATATTTTATTCTACTTATTCTATTTCTGAAATTTATTATTCATGTTATATGTAGCACATTAGTACCAAAACAAGTTCCTAGTTTGTGAACTGCTTGTTCACTGACAATGGCAATAAACCTTTTTTGATTCTGATTAAAGATGACAGTATTATGTTGGGGGTGTTGTTGGGAGTTGTTGAATATAACTAAAAAAGTAACTTGTAATATAATTTAGTTACTTTAAAGACCAAGTCATCAGTAAAGGAACTGTTAACTTTGAACCGACTGCCAGTAATCAGATTACTTTTCAAAGCAACTGTTGAAACACTGACAGTGACAAACCCAGGTAAGAAGCAAACCACCTTAATGGTAGTACATATCCCTAAACCAGGGGTAGGCAACCCTGGTGCTAGAGCCATAGTCCTGCATGTTTCCAGCCATGCATGAACTTGCAGCTTCTAATTGGCTGAACACACCCGATTCAGGTAATCAACAACAGGAACAACAACGATAGTTGTAAAACAAGAAGGACTGTGGCTCTCTAGGATCAGGGTTGCCTACCCCTGCCCTAAACAAACCCAAAGCCACCATTCCCAGGCTATGTACAGGCTCAGATCTTAATTGTCTTGCTTATTTTTTTTTTTCCATTTCACAGATGAAGCTTTAGGATGTTGGGTTGGATTTAGCCATTTAAAGGAGCCATATCATGAAAAATCCACTTTTTTGAGCTTTTAACCATGTGTTATTATTTCCTCAAGAAAAATACCCCCAATCCTGCTGTTGGCTGCATTCATGCATTTTTCTGTCTCAGCTGCAAGTTTTCAGATTTTTTGGAAAAGCCTGCACACACAAGGATGGAAACTAAATGTCTTCCCCATGAAGTTAGTCTCGGATCTGAAACCTGCCTCAACTGGAAGTAGGCAACTAGTGGCCACTTACTTAAAGAAAACCCCTCATATAAGATAAATTACATCTCAATAGTACCATCAGTAATGTTTTATCATATATTGAGCTTACCTTTGCTCTCAAAGGCATAAAATAGCACAATCTGGCTCCTTTAAATGACATTTAAATTTTAAGGTGATCCCCCTTTATTCTGAGTGATCAAAGTAGATGGCAATATTCAGCAGAAATGTGCTTGCATGCGCAATGTAATCTATGTGGTTTACTTTGATGACAAGCTTTTTTCTTGTACCTGACTATGTTATATATTTTTTATTTTTTTTTATATGTGAAGTGCTTTGTGGTTTTTACCTTGAAAGATGCTATGCAAATAAAGGCAGGTGTTGAGGCCTCCAGTTCTAGTTGCCTGCTCTGTAGCAGGAAAGTTGGAGAACTGATCTCATAAACAGCCAAATCAAATAAAGTTTGATTTTATGGAAAACCTCATTACCATCATTTTTAAACTCGTTAAAGTGTTATCTTTGTTTAATCAACATATTAGAGAGTTTTAATAAAGTAACAGTCCTTAAAATTCTCTATGTCAGACCAATTTACTGACATTCTGAAGTAAGTACATGCACAGCATAAACAAAATTAAAACATTTAACATTGATTTCAAATAGCTGCGTTTTTAATTTTATTTGTGCATGTGGGATTGTGGGTATGTTCTCTGTATGTGTGGTAGTATTTTAATAATAATAATAATAATCAAAACAAGTAAATTAAAATAAAAATGTTTTCCTTCGCAGGAGCCAGAAGTATGGGTTGTTAGTTCCTCAGACTTTGTAAGGGTCTGAAAGACTGATGTTGTGCTTCTTGTTTTACCCGTTTCCAGTTCAATCTTGACAAAGACCCTACTGATGGGTTGTCTCCAGTAGATGGCAGCAGTGAGTCACCACAAAGGCAATCCAAGTGTGCGTCTGAGCAGATGCCTGATCAAAATGCAACAGAGCTACATAAAGTACACACGGTCTAGTTGTTAAAATGAATTTAAAAAAGGACAAGCAGTTGCACTTTTTCCAGTTTTCAAAACAAACAACCTGATATAAATATTCACGGTGTGGGGTGATCGGCAGTGAAGGATTTAGGCACAGATCGTATTTAACGACGCAGATTGTTTGTGTCCAACATCATGAAAGAAGTAGATCTTCAACGCAACACCTCTGAAAGTCAACTTATAGAGAAGAAACAAGACATTAATTCTGTCGTTGCTCCTCAGCAGAAGGATGTTCTTATAAAGCAAACATCTGGTGGGTAAAATCACAGATTTAATGAGTCTTTAAGAGAAGTAAGAGAAGAAAACAGCTAACTGTTAGCTTAGCGTAACGATGCTAAGAGAAGCATTCAGATAATCAAGAGCTCGTCTTTGTCGTTTATTTTTATATAAATAGTTCATAAATGCTCGATTTTTTATTCTTTAACATTCGTCCAATCTTTAACACCTATAATAACTTGTTGACAGCTAGGAAAAGCAGCAAGTGTCGCCCCAGACCATTATCAGTGCACACAGTAGAATTATTAGTTATTTTGGTGTCATGATTAAACCCTCAACTCTTTTTGTTTCCTGGTTTGTGCCACATGATCATCCCTCTACCATGTCCTCCTGCCTTTATGTTCTTTTAACGAAACTTTAGGCAAACATCTGGAGATCATTTCCCAGAGCAAACGAGAAGAGAAAATTGCTGGTTCACTCAAACTAAAAGAACCATGTTGAGGCTGTGCAGTTTTTCTAAATTTATGAGGAAATCATGTCCAGGCAGCAAGATTTCTGCTAACTTGTGTTATGCAGCTTTTGTTACTCAGCTGTGCATGCTGTACATATGGTTATTTGCTTTGGTTTTCACATGAATACTTCATTTAATTGTGACTGAATCTTCTCAAACCGTTTTGCCTTGTAAAGCTCAAATACAATAAGTAAAACCAATTATGGTTCATTTTTGTGCAATCCAGATTTTTTTGTATCAGTGTAATGAGTTTTGTTAGCCTCGTATATCAGGGTTTGCCTTCTTGAAAGAGAATTGCAGAATAAAAAACAAAAAACATTTGATTTTCACAACAATCTGCACAGCCTGTAACTTTAAGATGTATTCCAGAAAAGGTTTACTATTTAAAAATGTAATTTAGTCATTAATTGTATCTAATGTCATCACAAGCATCCTCTGTGTGATACTAAAATCACAGTCAAATACGATGTCTCCTGTAGATGATCAGCAGCTGGTGGAGGTTAAAGAAGAAGAGGTTCTTGATCTACAGAGCTCCAGTGTGAACCATCATAAACCGGAGCTCATCAACATAAAGGAGGAGGAGGAGGAGGTCTGGACCAGTCAGGATGAAGGGCATCATACTGTGAAGAGTGAAGATGAAGAGAAACCTCAGCTTTTACATCTTCATCAAATCAAAAGTGAAGACAACAGAGAGACAAGACCTCCAACCAGCAGCCCAGCTGAGCAGATAACAACAGAAAATGATAGAGAGGACTGTGGAGGACCAGAACCAGACAGGAACCCAGACCCAAAAACTCATGTACAACCAAACACAGATGAAAAGGCTTCTGACTCTTCTGAGACTGAAGCAAGTCAGGATGAGGATGAAGGTGAAGATCACAGTAAAGATGACTGTGATGAAACGGTGACAAGCTCTGGATCTGGAAGTGAAGACAGCGATGAAGACTGGATGAAAACCAAACCAACCAGAACATTTCGATCAAGAGTAAAAGGCAAAACGAGGCGTCAAATTAGTAAAAAACCCTTTAGGTGTCCAGAGTGTTTTAAACAGTTCGTCAACAAGTTTTCTTTTCAGAAACACGTGACTTCTCACTCAGGTAAAAGCTCAGCCAGTGTGGGTGATGAGAAACGTTCTAGAAGGAAGCGAAAAGTAGATTCAGAAACAGCAGGTAACGCTACCAAAACGTTTACTTGTGATGATTGTGGTAAAAACTTTATCAGTCAATATTATCTAAAATGTCACATGAGCATCCACACAGGGGCAAAACCATTTTCCTGTGATTTCTGTGGCAGAACATTTAAGTGTCTGCAAATTCTTAAGTGTCACGTTCGACTTCACACAGGTGAGAAACCATTTGCTTGTGATAAATGCAGTAAAACATTTAGCCATTTACCCAGCCTCAAGCTTCACATGACTCACCACACGGGAGAAAGGCCGTTTCGATGTAATGTGTGTAATAACAAGTTTAGCCTACCAGGAACTCTGAAGCTACACATGACAATTCATACCGGAGAGAAACCGTTTGCTTGCAGTAGTTGTAACAGGTGCTTCAGGCTTCGTGGTGACCTTAAAGCACACATGATGAGCCACTCAGGAGAGAAACCGTTCAGCTGCAGTCATTGTGGTGCTAAATTTGCTCGACATGGAAGCTTGCTTAGGCATGCCAGAGTCCACACAGGGGAGAGGCCATTTCCTTGTGATAAGTGTGACAAAAGATTTTTTCAAAATTCACATCTTAAAAAACACTCGTCAGTTCACTCCGATCAGAAAGTTTACACAGTTTAAAGGTCCTGTTCTTGTAAAGCTTGGATGTGGAAGTAAATATTCTTTAGAGTGCATTACTGTCTTTGCTTCTGATGAATGTGATGAAAGGTGTCTCCAAAAGGCAAGTCGTATGAATGCCATTCCAGCTCACTTAAAAGTGTGGTTCACTTGTTTAATCAGTGCACTTGCAGTGGTCTCGAGTAGGAATGAATGCCTTGAAAGTTGGACTCTGGGAACAAAAGGTCCGATGCGTCTGCTTCAGGAACTAGAAGTGAGCCACGTCACAGTTGAGTTTCACATGGCAAGATTTGGAGTCTCATTTGCTGATATTTGGACGTTATAATTGGATAACCGCTTTCCCTGCCACAAATCAAGATGGGTGAGTCCATGAATGTAAAGTGACAGTGTGACGTAGATCTGTCAGGCTTTTCAAATCCTAGTTTCATCATCTATTTTCTATGAGAAGCTGATGCAGGAGATGGGTGTAGGAGACTGTTTCATGCTCAGCCTTCATAAAACACCCAAGAGTGACCGATTATAATCAGAAATAATATTTAAAAAATGTGTTTTTAGTGAACCACACCTTTCAAAGAGGTTCTAGAATTCAAAACCACATTTGCCTTGTTGAAAATGGGCAGCTTGGGTTTTCAGATGCAATATAACAGGGTTTTTCCTGGCTCAAATTGAGGCAGAGGTGGTACCATCCTGACCACGCGCCAGCACATGCATACTCTGTGCATTCAACTGCCTCAATTTTTAAAGGCAAAATATATTTTCGTTACGTGTTCTAATCTAAGCTTCTGTTGATTAATAGAATATTCCATTTGACTGTGTTTCAAGTGAAACAAAATTGGTTTGCTGATAAAAAATATGAAATAAAACAACAAAATTATCAGGCTGAAATAACACTCTTATTATAAAAGGCTCAATAATATGCATTAGATAGGTGTTTAGTTCCCTTTTTCCCATCTGATATTTGTAGTTTAAATTATTTTTAAATATTTGACCTACAGTTTTGTAACATTTAAAGTTTGTTAACTCAAAGTCAAAATAACATAAATATATCCAGTAAATTATAATGTATTTCATTAACATGCATTTGTATTGGAAATGATAACATTTAATTTCTGCTGCTAACAATGTAATGGTGGCACGTCTATTATGTACGGGTTGACAATAATCCAGTTCAAATTATGTTCAAAGATAGAAGCGTTTGTGAATTATATACTACAATGGCTTGCTGTACCTCCTGCTCCTGTGTGTGGAGTAGGCTTGTAACAGTATTTGTCTTACACGTAACATACCGTTGTTCAATAAAGTTCTAGGGAAAATAGTAAGATGTTGCACCAGTGCTACGTTTAAAAATAGACAGACACGCACAGGCAGTTTTTTTCGTCGCACTGTACAGCTCTGATATGGAAGAGCCTGGGGTAAAATCAGGATGTCAATAGTACCATCCATAGATATGTACCAACCGATGGTACCAACTAGCGAGAAAAGCTATTTTTGATCTTCTTTTTCTGCAGCAGTTTTAGCGCTTTCCGGTGCACCGCTGCTGGTACAGCGCCCCTGTAGTGGCGCAACGCTGCAACTGCAGTTAAAATAACATCTATGTAGCTGGGGGCAGCATGAAATCAGGCTGGGGCGGCTGCCACGCAAATTTGAACGCAGGAAAAACCCTGTAACAAAATGACTGTCTGCTTTTCTATGCAAATTAGTAATATTGTTATAGCAACAGAAAAATGATTCATTCTTAAAAAATCTCCTTTAACTCATTATGAAGCCACCCCTTTAAATGAGTATGTTCCAACCCAAAGTTAGTCACAGTTATGCTAACTGCAGAGCAGTGCTAGCTTAAGCTACTGCTAACATCCTTGTTGGATGAGAGGACAACACTAAGAAGATTGGAGCACAATGCAGGATGTACTGGTAATGTCCAGACTTTGAATAAATGTCAGACAGATCCATAGCTTGCCTATTTACTCATCCGGATAATGTACACAGTTTCTAGCTTCAGGCAAAATCATGGAGCTATTGGGGTTAACTGGTCAATCAGCTGATTGGCTGCAAACCATTATAGAATTGTATTTGACCATTTATCAAAGCCCCTGGGCCATTTTGAACCCCAACAAAATTTTAAGTACTTTATGGAGGCTGAAAGAACATTTTCCAGTTGTATGTATATACACATAAGCATTGTTTTAGGACTCCTTTAAGAGATTCAAAATAAGTTGTGCTTCACCAATGTTTGCCAGAACTTTAAATGTTTAATTCATTCTTGGTTAGATTAATTTCCACTATCTCTTAAGGTCTTGGTAGATAAGGTCTCCCAACACTTCACTGCTGATCAGCTGCTCAGAAGGGAACTTGGCTCCAGAATAGTTGTGGAAAACAGTCAATAAAAGTGTAACTTTTATACTTGAGGTGTGGTTAAACTTGCCTTAATTTATTCAAGATACCAGAAAATTTCATTTAATTTAATACATTTAGTTTTTATATTTCAAATGTTTCAGATGTTTTTTTAATAATCTCATTTTTTGTTTATTTGAAAACTGGGGAACTAGGCAGTTTTGGCTTGCTTTAAGCACCTCATAGTGTCTGTCTGTAGAACTGAAAACAAAACCTCTTCCAGCTGTGCGTTCACCTTTTTAACGCCTTAATCTAACAGCTGAAACATCACCTCAATCTTCTTTAGTGTCTACAGGAGTGATTCATCATTAAATGAAACAATCAGCTGTGTTTACGATCTAAAACATGCAGGAACCAGACTGCAGTGCCAGGAATGTCAGCTCAATTGCCGCCAGTCTGAAGTTGCAAGTGAAATATTCTGGCCACATGGGGCAATAGGGCTGGGTGGCCTTTCATGAAGCCTAAAGGGTCATTTTGGAAAATATTGACTCAAGAAAATAATTAAAAAATATGAAAAGGTTGTAAAGTATCCCTTAAATGAAGCCAACCTACATCAGTCAAGAGCGACTGAAAGGCTCTCTAAATCGGTGGCGGATTTAGCAATTTGGGAGCCCAAGGCGAGCACAGACATGGGGCTCCCTTACACTAAATTTTCGACAATGTTACCTTTAACTGGTTTTGCGAAACTCCCCTCTTCTGCCATGAGTTATTTTCCCATCCTCCTCTTTTTTCTCTCCCTTTGAGTGCTTTCAATATTTGCTCAGCTTTCTTCTTCCTGTCAGTGCTCCTGTGCTTTTGCCTTTCTTTTTTTCTACTATTTTCCATTTTGGTCCATGTTTTCCTTCCTTTAACATTTTCAATTGTCTTTTTCTGCTTCCTTTTGATGTTTACTTAGAAAAACGACGTCTCATTTGGAAGTGAAGATAAAAGCTTTTTTAAAGCAAGCTGCTTCTTTCTCTTATTGGAGCCACCAGGATAACTCCATTACATGCTTAATGTTTTGACTACCGCTTCTAGTTTGTTACGAACACTCCCGCCCCTCTCTTCTTCTTCTTCTTCTTCTTCTTCTTCTTCTTCTCCTTCTTCTTTGTGGTCTTATGGCACTTGGCAAACAACAATTTGGTGCATTACTGCCACCAACTGGATTGGAGTGGAATGACTACCATTTGCTTCCTGTTTGTGAATCGGCATCTTAAAGGAATAGTCCATTGTGGGATTAACAGAGGGGTGCCGGTGGTCAGGGCGAGGGGGCCCCCTTATGTTGGGGGCCCCAGGCGGCCGCTGACCTATGCCTAATGGTAAAACCGCCACTGCTCTAAATAAAGTAAATAAAAGCTGATTATATTATTATCAAGAAATATGAATATAATTTCTTTAGTTTACTTTCTTCTATTGACTTTTGAGTGATTAAAAATGTGTTTTAACTATTTAAACAACATTTTAGTGAGTCTTGATGCTGATTAAATGTTTTCAAAAAGTATTTTAATGATTGTCAAACAACTTGGTGAAAAAATAACTGCATCAAAGTCTGCTATAACACAGAGTTGTCTTGTATAAGTGATGTGTATCCAGCAAAATGAAATTAAAAACTAGGAACCTGAGCCAGACACATATTTGAGTTACTTGTCATTCTTTGCAACCATTATCACTTTTCACAAGATCAACAAGCAGCTTCCTGAAAACATCTCTATATCCGTTTACACCCCTATCTGCCATATGCCTATAGCCTACATGCCATTCATTTTATTTATATTCTATGAAAATTATGTTTTTTTATATTAAAAGGAAAAAAAAAAAGGGCAAAAAAATCTTTTGTCTGATTTTTGTCGTTGATGTGTTTTGGCCAATGTTTTATTCTGGCCACTTTAGGCCTAGTCCACACCTAGCCGTTTTTTTTTTAAACAAATATCCGCCCCTCCAAAAACTTGCATCCACACCACCTTGTTTAAAATAAAAACTCTGTCCACACCATGGTCCACACGTAGCCGGATAAATACGTTGTTAAGGACATGCCAGACCTGTAGGCGGCAGTACTTCCCCCATTCTTAACCTCGTCCTTTGTCTGTGGTCTTCCGCAAGGAGCAGTAATTCCGCTTGCAAAAACAAACAAGCAGAAAGCGCTTGGACAATTGATAAAGCGAGTGCAGCTCTGAGGGCATCCATGCTGTCGGCTAGTGTAAACACAGGTCGCACACGTGATGTCAGCATTTTTTTTTGTTGTGGAAAGTGATGTTATGGAACTTAAAACTCCGGTTTTGTCTGTCCACACGCAGACACCCAAAACGGAGAAAACGCAGATCTTCACATTGGCCGGAGTTTTTAAAAAGATCAGTTTTCGTGTGAAAAAACTACGTTTTTGTGTGGATGACAGGCCAAAACGTAGAAAAATATCTACGTTTTGGCAGATCCCCGGCTACGTGTGGACAGGGCCTCAGTTCCTGATTGACCAACTCATCCAGGTTGTATGCCTGATTGAATCCGAGTGGTATAAGGCTATAGTAAATATCTTCTTTACTATATATTTGTGATTTTAATAAATGAGCTTTATCTTAATTTGCACTGCTCACCTAATCTGTTGTGTTGGTAAAGATAAAATATTGTTTTGTACTCATTCTGTTGCAGTGTTTACCAGGTGTATAGCACTTACTTATACTTCATTGGTTTGAAACATGCTTTACAGCTGCAAGAAGCTTCTATACGTTAGCAAACCCTGCAGGACTGGTTTCCATCAGAGGTCTGTTTATCATAACCTCGGTATTTTATACGTGTTTTGTATAACGTGATGGTAGAAACATCTAGAAATTTAGATTGTGAGCTTTGCAGTGAAAAGGCCAGGTTGTATTTCTCATTGTCTTTCTTTTTTATTTTATGTAACCTATCTTTAAACACTGTGTGAATGGTCAGACTAAACCAAACATTGCATTTGCAGCCTTCGTGTGTGTGTGTGTGTGTCTGTCCAGATTGCTCTACTTGGAAAAATCTAAATTGTTATAAGAAATATTTAATATTGTTGCCCTAACATTTTATTTGGCGAACATGGTTTCATCCCAGCTGCAACTTAAAACCTTTCATTTATTTCTTGAATAACTGAAATATGCAGCCTAAATAAACTTGTTCGCTTGATTCCAGTGGAAGCTGTAGGACAGGTTTTTCCACAGCCTGATTTTACAGATGGGTTGAGTTTATGCTGAGTGAGAGCTGAGAGGAAGCAGTTAGCTCATCAGGAAGACCAGCTCTGTACTGGAATGTCCCCTCGACCCAGTGCAGTTGGTGGGAGACAGAAAACTCCCATACAAGGCATGAAGCTGTGACTGACAACATGTCTGCTTCTTCAGGGACAGGCTGTTGCATCCTTATTGTTAAAAAGGAATAGTAATTTACAATGAGGGCTCCTTTATTAATGTCACTTAGTGCGTTATCAAGCATTAATTAACAACGTATGAACAACGGTTTCATATTAACTAATGCATTACTGAGTAGATACCCTGCCTGGCTCTTTGTCCTAAACTTAAGTACACTCAATAGTTAAGTTATCAGAGTTGTTAATGGGGACTTTTGTTTATTAATACTTAATAATGCGCTAAGTGATGTTAATAAAGGAGCCCTCATTGTAAAATGTTACAAAAGGAATTTTACCATAAACCTTCCTCACAGACTTTATCCCTTCCACTGCTCCCAACAAACCCTATAGGTGTTTATATTCTTGCTGTTATTTGCAAATTTCTTTTCATTTTTTGTAGTTTGTTGTTTTTTTTTTTTTGCTGCACAACTCTTTACTGTGCATGTTTTTATTCTTTTTCTCTATTTTTCTTTTACCATTGTGTGGACAGCTGGTGCACCTGGATTTCCCCACCATGGGAATGCATGTTTGAAAAAAAAATTAAATAGTGAGACGTGTTTTTTTGGCTATCTTTGAATCTCAATTTATTTTTCTTGCATTGCAAGACAAGGCACCCTACATTGAGCAGGAACAACACAGGAATGTTTATATGCAGTAGTAATTAATAAACATTTGATACCGTTACAATTTCCTTTGATTTAATTTTAAATAAATATTTAGAGTGCCCAGGTAGCACATAAAAAATGCAATTTAACGTTTTTCTTAAAGTAGCATAGGCGTCATTTTAACCGGGGACGCCGGGGACATGTCCCCGGCAAAATTTGTGATTGGCAGCTGTGTCCCCCCCACTTTCAAAAAAGCCTGCCTTTATTGACCCCAGCAATTTTTAAACCCCACTCAAGTGTATGGTTATTGTCCCCAGCAATTCTGAAAACAAACTGACGCCCTTGTAAAGTAGGAAGGTTTAACCTGTGCGGCCAGAGCGCTCTCCTTCCTTCTGCTCTGCGTAAACCTGAGCTGATCACCTACTTGTGCGTAATCAAATGTCTATTGGGGAAAATATGGAAAGCTATCCATGAGGTTCACTTTTGCCTCAGACCGACTTATTACTGTTTTATGGTGTGGCTGAATCTGCGATCCGCTGCCACGCGGACTGGAACAACAAATGCTGCAGTAACATGAGATGTGGTCAGGTTCGGAGTCACTGGCTGGAGCGGACCCGACTTTAATACGTCATCCCAAAATAGAAGCTAATATCTTAATTTGACCTGGAATGAAAAATGTTATAAAACCTCTTAAAAGTTTTTATCACAGAGGAGGCAGCGATCATTTCTGTCTTCAGTCTGACGGCGCCGGAGTTTGCGCAGCGCACGCGCTTATTGAATCTGTGTGTGTGTGTGTGTGTGTGTGTGCGAGTGCGGCACAGCTCCATGAGCCGCTCCAGTCACCGCGTCTCGTTCTTGGCGCTATTTAAACCAATGTTGTAAAATTACTTCTGCCCAGCCCAGATGTGCTCACTTGTGCACCCGTGAGCCGTGGTTCCGCTGGAACGCGTCTGACCTCTGACAGACGCGCTCTGAACTTCAGATCTTCAGCGCGCTGTTAATAGCCTGAATGGGAATCATTTCTTGATTTATTTAGTTACATCCACAATGTTCTGTGTGTGAGGTTTACAATGTCAGAACACCTGCATGAGACAGGGTGTTAATTACAATCTGCCAGAATGACTCACCACCTTCAGATTCCTCCAACATCGTTAAAAATGATAAAATACGGAACATATCGGCGTGCGCAGGCCAGAGTGCTGAAGCTCGGCGCATTGTTATTATGAAGCTAGGGCACATGTGGAGGACACGCGCGCAAAAATATACTTGTTTTCAATTGCATTTATTGGGCCCACTTACTTTTTCTTAGGCCCACCCACAAATGAGTTTCTGGCTACGCTAATGGTGACATGTGACAGACTTCTCTGAGCTCCGCAGCCATTACACTTTTCACCTCGCGCACCCCCTAGCGGCAGCACCACACTTTGGGAATCCCTGGCCTAGAACAATGAGTTCTGATGATAATCCACGGAGTTTGAACACTAAATCGCTCCACCATGTCCACAAAGGAGCTGTTAAAAACCAGGTAAAGGAGCAGAGCAGAGAAGAGCAGGGGGCTGTTACCATACATCTGCTTCATACAGCAGTGAATACATGTGTCTGATCGCCATGCGTTAAGTAAAATAAGAAGTTTTGATAATAATCTTTGCAGAACATTAAAATTATATTTTCTGATCTACCATGGGAGCTGTCGCGCTGCATTTGCGGTCGATGCGCCTCTCATAAGCGGCCGATAGGAAGGGACAAGCAGCAGAATACGTGAGAATGTGCTGCCCAGTAACACGCTGGCGCTGCTGGTCCAGTCCGATGGAAAGGGGGTCACTCACTGTTCAACTATGGGCTCTTTAGAATGTTGTGATGTCACATGAAGCCAATCTTTGGCATATATAATTAAACTAAATCAACCCAAATACCAACACTCGCGTCCTTTTTAGCTCATATTACATGATGACAGACAGCTATAGATATGAAATGTTTTCTACTTGTTATTGAACACACATGTTTTAAAATGTAACCTAGCCAGCCCCGAGCTAATGCTACTTACTGTAGTGTCGCCCCTTCACCTGACGCACCAGCAGCACCTGCTGGGGTGGTGACTAAGGCCGGCCCAGGACCAAATAGGTCTGTCAACTTTAAACACTTAGCAGCTCCCACCTCTAGAGACTTCAATCTTTTTCGCCTCAACTTTTCTGCGCCACCCAAACGTTTCTTCGGCTTCTCCATTTTTACATCAACAGTCCGAAGCACAGCACTGTCCAACCACTCCCGCCGACCAGCGATGAGGCCCCGCCCACCCTGGTTTGTGCTGCCTGTGATTGACAGCCCTGTCGCAGCGCCCTGAACCAGTCAGCCCATGACAATGAGAGACAGACCAATTATACATCTTGATGTGTGCAACACACTGCTAGCCTCAGTAACCTATTGGCCGGCCCAATTTGTAAGAAATCTGAGGGCGAGAGAGAAAGACGAACGAAACGAGTGGATGAATGAATGAAAGAATGAAATAATTAATAAATGTCAGACCGGCCCGGCAGCCCCACCCACATTGTCGGCTCACCGGGACGGCTCCCGGTGCTCCAGAGAGTCAGTCCACCCCTGCGCATGTCTCAATCTGCCTAGCCAGCTAAAACTCTGACGTACGTGACGCCAATTACTCTTCTCCACGAGAGAAAATGATCTCTTGATTAGAAGTGTGCATCCCTACAAATTTTACATAGTATCTTGATTTTGGGCCTAGACTCATTCTTGTGCTGGCGGGCAGGTCCCCTTTCACTGTTCTGGAAGGTGATGGACTCGGGTTCACTTTTTTGCAAGAAAGGTGAGCTGGTTCCACAGGCCGATACAGGGCACTTTATATATATATATATATATATATATATATATATATATATATATATATATATATATATATATATATTCCATTTAATCCAGCATTATTGTTGCAAAGTTTCCACTCGCTGATTACTTTGGGCCAGGCCTAGTCAAAGCCCAGGGCTGTTTTTTAGTCCCAGTCCGTCCCTGGGCGTCACTCACCCTTTCTCATGGTCTGCTGAGTTTTTCTGCATTTCTCCTCTGCTGGAGGTCTGTGTGGTCTGTGTTATGTTTACCGTGTTGTATTGCTGCTGTAGCGCAGAAGCTGAATACGTCAGGTGTTCAGAGTATTTTTACCCCAGGCTGCGCTGCGTTCTGAATTATTGGTTCCATCACTTTATTTATGCTATTATTTCCAAATTCCTAAATTCAATGCTCTTAAGACTCTTTAAGACTCCGTGGGTACCCTTGGGTGACATTAAAGTGACAATGTGTAGTTTTTACCATTAATTTCTGGAAACATCCATCAAAATGTTGTTGAAAAAGAATTAAATGCTGCCCAGTTGTTGAAAAATGTTGGACATCTTTGTAACATCTAACCATAAAAATCTGGTCTAAAATACATGGGAGTGGGTCTAAGTCTCTGGGCGGCACCATATTAGACGCCATGGTTCCTTCTACAGGAGCCCATGAGGACAAAATGCATTTACTGACTTGTAACAAACAAATAAAAAACTTTCTCCATTCATAAATGTTGTTTTACACATTTACTTCTTCACTTGTTAGAAGTGATGAAAAGGAGTCTGATGTGCTTGTTATTTTGCTGAAGTTTGTACTCCCGATGGCTTTTTGGCCCTATGTGGCATTTGAAGGGTTAAACTTCTCAAAATGATGAATGCTTTTATGTGTTTGAGCAGGACTGAAGTTGTTTGACAAATCCTTGAAAAAAAGCAAATATATATATATATATATATATATATATATATATATATATATATATATATATATATATATATATATATATGTATATATATAAATTCCCATCTCACCGTCCACTGGCGGTCTCATCCTTCCTAGCTCAGGCCCTCTACCACAGGCCTGGGAGCTTGAGGGTTCTGCAGTATCTTAGCTGTTCCTATCTGCACTTTTTTGGACTGAGATGTCTGATGTTTTTCCTGGGATCTGCTTTAGCCACTCCACCAGTTTGGGGGTTAGTGTCCTGAGTAAAGTTTTGACCCACCTTCTCATTCAATGTGTTGTCTTTATTTGAATGACCATTTACAATGGTAGCTTCTCACTGAAGGTACTTAACCAAAAAAGGTGAAATAACTGAGAAAAAATGTTTTATATTCTATTTTCTTCAAAATAGCCACCTTTGCTCTGATTGCCACTTTGCACACTCTTGGCTTTCTCTCAATGAGCTTCAAGAGGTAGTGACCTGAAATGGTTTTCCAACGGTGTTGAAGGAGTTCCCAGAGGGTATAGCACTTGTTGACCCCTTTTTTCAAGGTCAAGGTCATGAAAATAAAGAAGTTTTGCAGGTTAAACATTATTTATGTGACTGCTGTTAGGTATTTTCATTTTCCCATCCAGGGATACCTGAAGGGAAAGCTCAACACGCAGGGGTTGTATTAACAAGCTATCGATTTAACCCATACCAATTTATACCAATAACCAAACAATTTAGACTTTGCAAAGTGGAGAGAGATCAATGAAAAACACGAGTCAGTAGTCAGTTTGCTCTCGTCCGACAAAAAGCCCTCCACGAGTATTTATTAAGGACACACAAATCATGATAAAACGCACACACATTTACACATTCCTTTAGACTTCGAAAGGGAGACAAACATGCGCTGGCACAGGGCGTTCTTACTGATAAGCCAGGACTGGGAAGAAGCAAGGTCAAACGCCTGTCTGTTGCCACGGAAAAATTAGCTGGATGAGCTTTCGTTTAAAATAATAAATAATGTATCCATAATTTATCCAACAACTGCCACAAAAGAAAGCTCATGAATGAGTCTCGTTAAAAGCAATTCTTCTCTGTAAGGAACTTAAGTGGCAGTAGTAAAGTTGAAAATGCAAAATTGTCAACCAGTTGCATTGTGTAATTTAAATGCAACTTCATAAATAACAACAAAAGTTGGAATACATGATCCAGTCTAAACCACAACCAACCATCCCAGAGTTGGTTGTGACCACAGCTTTAATAAAAGCAATTAATGTCAAAAACAAAAATAAATGGCAATAGCCCTCTAATTATTTCATTTA